GCGAGATAATGATTTTATTAGTAGTTAAATCAAGACAACGATATACTTTGTGATGTGTAGGATACCCAAGAAAAGGCATAAAGAGGAACGATGGGCAAGTTTGTGAGAGGTTGTGGTTGAAAGATAAGGATAGCATGCACATCCAAAAGTCCACAAATAATCATTTTTGGGCACAACACCGAAAAGCACTTCATGTGGTGTAGAAAATTGTAACCTGGTTGAAGGTAAAGTATTTAAAAGATGAACAATCATATAAAGGGCTTCCACCCAAAATGTACCAGGTAAGTTTGCTTGAAAAAGTAACGAGCAAACCATATTCATAATTGTTTCATTCATTCTCTTGGCTTTCCCATTTTGATGGGGAGTCGAGGGACATGAAGAGTGAAGATGAATTCCATGTGATTGAAAATATTGAGCAAAATCTAAATTATCATATTTATGGCCATTATCAAATTGCAAAGCCTTAATCCAAGCACCAAATTGCATGGAAACATAAGCAGAAAATTTAAGAAAAGATTGAAACACCTAAGACTTAAAATGCAAAGGAAGGAGCCATAAATAATGACTAAAAGCATCCAAGAACAATAAATAATATTTGATACCACTAAAGGAAATAGTCAGAGAACTCCAAACATCAAAATGGACTAATTCAAAAGGTGTGAAGTAATAGAACTAAACTCAGAGAAAGGAAGACAAACATGCTTCCCTAATTGACATGCATGACACAAATTTGAAGAGACACTCTTATTCTAGGAAGAAAGAAGGCTATGCCCAAAAAGTTGTTGAAGAGAAGTAGAACCCGAATGACCAAGACGATGATGCCACACATCAGTAGATGCAATAGTAGAATTAACTTTAGGAACACCTCGGGAAAAGCAGCTAGACAGAGAATAAAGGCCATCTTAACTATTGCAATAAAGAAGGATGTTCTTCATCTTGATGTCCTCTATAGAAAAACCAAAAGAATCAAAATCAATACTATAATTATTATCACGAGTAAATTGACGAACTGACACAAGACTTTTAGTGATTTAAGGTGAAACTAAAACATTATTTAAACGAAATTGACAACCAAGGGAAAAAAGAACAATATTACCCAATACAATGATAGGCAACAATTGGCCACTACCAACTTGAACAAAATTAGAATTGAAATGAGATGACTTTTGAAGTAAAGAACTAAACTTATTGGTGACATGAGTAGGTGCATCTGAGTCTATATACCAGTTCGGATTAGGGGAAAAAGCAACCAATTTGTGATGGGTAGAGGGAGATACCGTTGTGGGCCGAATGATAAGCAATGGACAATCATGGGCTTGATGGTTAAGTTGCTAACACCATTAACAAGAAATAGGGGTGTGATGGCTACCACCTGTTGGGATAGACGATGTAAGAAGAAGCAGAGGCAAAGCCTAAAAAGGCATAGCATTACGGCTACTAGAAAGATCGCCACTAGAAAAATCAGAACCATGTCCGGTACCTGAAAGGATACCATGTTAGTGAAAACCTCCATAAGAACGACCATGATTACCCCAAAAATGGCCACAACTTCCTTTATGGCCAAACCATTAACTGCCTCGATTGGAATTAGCCAAATAATAAAGCTATGGATGATTACTAGAGAAAGTATCCCAAGATGTGGTAAAGGAAACAGTTGGTGTTGGCAAGTTGGTAGTAGCATTTGGATGATGAGAGAGGTGAAGCAATTGTGGGTTACTAGGAGAAATCATAGGCTGAGTGTCTCAATTTGCTGCTTCACGGAGGAGAGTGGCTTCTTCAAGCAACAAAAGAGAGTGCAATTCTAGGAAATTGGGAAAAGGGTTTCGTTGAGGTATAGTTCTATTAGCAACACTGTATTTTAAATCAAGACCAACAAGCACTTGAACTACCAAATCACGATCTGGTTTTGGATGTCTAACACCATGCAACTTATCAACCAATCATTTCACAAACTGTAAATAGCTAAGCATAGATTGTCTAGGTTGCTTATGCATAAAAGAGTACTCTTGTTGAAGAAACAAAGTTTGGGCAACCAATTGATTCTAGTAAGCAACATGAATTGCATCCCATGCTTCTGTGGCCGAAAGAGATCTCCCTAGTTGTAAGATCATTTGTAACACTTTAGTAGAAATTGTGGCTTGGATCTAGTACAAAATTTGATCATCGATTTGCATCCAGGCTTCAAAGTGAGGACTTTCAGATGGAAGACATGGATTTGTGCCATCAATATGACCATAGATAGCTTTGCACTTCAAAATTGGAACCATTAACTCACGCCAAATAATGAAATTATTGTGATGCAAAGTCCCAGAAACAAAATTCTTAATATTTGTGATTATAAAGACAAGATGTGGGAAAGTATTAGAGGCTATTGAATTGGTTGCAGTTGACGAAATAGGTAAGATGGGAAGGATAAGAGATGCTGAACCTGTCGGAGTAAAGATTGAAGACCATTAGAGACCACTGGAGATGGGAATAAGGGCAAGTGACACAGACACAGTAGGAGGAAAGGAAATAGACTCAGTAGACATGGGGAAGACACAGGATAGACGACGTAGGAAACAAAGAAGAAAAGGAAAACCCTAGAAGATGCTAGAAGACGCTTGGTGTCGAACCTAACTCTAATACCATGTAGAAGATAATGCCTCTAGGGTTTTCATTATTGTAAAAGAGTATATATACATGTGGTATACTATAAAATACCTTAACTACCCTTTGTATGTAGACTATAATACATATACATTATCAATTTGCTCTTTGTAAAGTTCATGCTTTTTAGAAGTTGCTTTCTTTGGATGTTCAATTAATGGTAGATCTCATCAATTTCCATTTAATTCTCACATAGATTGGTTTGTTTTAATCTAGTTTGAAATTAAACTAAATTAGTTTTTGGAATTAGACTTAGCCTGCATTCTAGTTTAATTTAGCATTAGATCTTCAAGTAAATTAATTGATTTGAGGTTGATTTAGAAGTATTCTAAATTTTTGGAATTATTTTGAAGTTGATTTCTGGGATGAAGGATCAACGGTCATAACCCTAATACTTAGGTTTGTACAATTTTTAGTCTATGAATTTTCCTTGAATGCATGCTATTTTATTATTGTTTTGAGTTTATTTATTTAAGATATTGTACTTAATTTAAGATTAGTATCTTCTTATACATCTTTATAGTTTTAAAGTCCTAAAAGTTGTTTATGATAAATAGTAACTTATTTTGCAAAACATTACCATGTGACCCTCTGTTTTGCAACATCATTTGAGTTACAAAACAATTTATAGACATACATTCTTTCAGCCATCTTATTGGGAGGCCAACTACTAGAAAGGAGAGAGTTATAAAAAAAAATCCAATTTTCTTGTTGATAACAAAATGAGTGGTATGGTTTAAACCTAGACCCAAACAACAAGAGCCACTTAAGGATTTTTTATTAAACAAATTGATATTAGAGAAAAGTTGCAGATTCAAGTCCCCCTAGATTATGGGGTTCATTTATCTCCTCATAAACTTACTATCGATCCACTGGCCATGGGAAAGATATCCTAGTGGACAGTATCAGTGCTTTATAGGCTAACTTGTCGAGACCCAATGGGTGGGGTATCCTAGAAGAGCCTTGCAAAACCCTCAAGCCCACCCGTAACACGAATAGATGCAAAATTCTGTGCTCCTATGGATAAAGGAATTAAGTTACGCCAGTATTGCAAGTCTCGAATTTTTGCGCATGTGGTAGTGCTCGATCTTGCGCAACTGCTTAATCTCAAGCTGAAGTTTTTACTTTGGTTTGAACATCTTGTTAGTATCAACTCAGCTTCTTATCGGTGATAAAATCTTTATTTTTAAGCAACCATGTCATTTTAGCGCAGCAGCCTTGGGGTGGTTCATACTCAATACATCGTAATTGCCCTCAAAATAGCAAAGATACTAAACCTAAAGTCCTCCCCTTTTACGTCGCCATTTCTCCCATTCACACATCTTTTTGCTCCTTAAATATTTGCTTTTGTTTTTGGAAGAAAATGAAGAAAGAGAGAGAGTGAGTGAGTGAGAGAGAGAGAGAGAGAAATAATAAAACAAATGTAAAATGAGAGTAAAAGGCTTTCATCAAATCAACAAAATTTGATTGATTACATCGAAAAGATTGGCCAACTTTATTCTATCTAGGTACAAATTGAAGAGCCTCTTTCTTATTCTTTTCACATGAATAGATAGAAAGAATAAGAATAGAGATAAGGTGAGAAGATGTGAGATAAGATGGGATATGTTTCATATGTCTCCAATTATATTTATATATATTACTTTACACAGTCTGAAGAAAAAAAATAATTTGTTATGTTCCTTAATAGAGTTGATAAAATCTTTTTACAATTTTATTAAAAGTTTTGAGTTTAAGTCTTTATTCACAAAATAAAAGGAAATAAAGGAAATGAAAATTTTAAAATAAATTCTCCTCTTTCTTTTGTTAGAACAAACATTAAGATCTCTAAGAATAAACATTAATAAAGTCTTATTTCAATAATTAAAAGACAATGTGAGAAATGAAACTCAATTTTTCATCGCAAATCATTTAATATCAAATGAGAAAAAGTAAAAGTAAAAAATGTGAATATGTTAGAGTGCTTTATAGTTCAATTATAAAATCATCACTATCATGGAATCAAAGATAAGGCGTGCCCTAACTAGCATTATGGAAGCCTTTACTTTAAAGAAATAAAAGCATTAGTGTAGGACAACATTTTCAAAATTTGCGACTTTTTGGCAGATTCAATGAACAAATTTCGGATAGATTTTGCCTTGAAGCTATGGATTCCAAGGCAATACTGCGTGATGGATTCGTAAGAACCTACTTTGTTTTTATATCGTAGTTGTTTAGTGGGAGGAACAAAGAAGAATCCAAGAACAATGTGGCATCGTTACCCGGGACATTTAGAAGTTTAGGCGTTTAGATTTAGTTAATACAAGGAAATACGATACCTTTCTCCTTTTTTAACTAAGATCGGTGCAATATCACCTCATCTAAGAAGAATAGATGTGCTCCCCCAATCCAACCACTCTAAAGACAAAATTCAACTAAATGCTTTAAGGTTCGTTTGCGATTACTGTTAGGGATATTTTTTTATACTCATGATATTTTTAAATGTATATATATATCTGATAATTTTTTTAAAAAATTGTAAAAAGTTAAGTAAATCTATAATAATTTTATATATAAAATTAAAAATTTTATTTTAAAATTTTCTAACTGTAAATTTCACATATAATACTTAATATTTGATACAATTATAAAATTATTTATTAAAATCTAATTTCATTTAATTTAATTATATTATAATTTATAATATTTTATTTAAACCCAACTTATATTTATTTGAAGATTTCATAAAAAATTAAAAATTTATTTCAAAGAACACTCATCATAAAAAACTTTAAAAACTTAAATTATTAAAAAAATAATAAATATTGTATATTTTAATAATTATATATTATATAATATTTTTTATTTTTAATTAATAATTAATAAAATTTATATATGTCATCTATAATATTTTAAAAAATTAAATAATTAAATATCAAAATAATTTTTAATTACAATTACAATACAACATATAATATTTTTCTGTTTTAACTTTTATCCATCCAAAAAAAAAATTAAATTAATTTTTTTCATCTTTTTAATTATTTACTGCTAATTGGATCAATTAGATTCATGAAGGAAAGGAAAAAAAATTTACATGAAAAAATAAATAAAATACTCTGAAATAAATTGCATGAATGAAATTCTTCAATTTTACAGAACGCCAACGAACACAACAGAAATTAATATTTTCCCCGGGGTCCAGCGTGACAAAAAACCCAGCTGAGCACGGCGGAGATTATACATCATAATAATATTAACATATCCTACACTGCTACTAGACTCCGACGCCGCCGTCCTGCAACTGCCTAAAACTCCATTGCAGGCGGCACCCTACAATTGCAGAAACATAAAATAGATTACTAACAAAAACTCCCTACATAAACAGATTAATTAGAGGACAGAATAGATGCCCAGTCAATCTCGTAAGAAGGGCACTTCTGCAACATGAAATTCTCCGAAGAAGAAAGAATCTCCCACTGCGGCTCGTTGAAGTCCGAGAATGCAAGGTCTGACAAAGGCGAAGACCCTGCCGACCCGTCGCTCTCCGTCATAACAGGAGACAGCGTCGGGGAGTTCTCCACCTTCATGACTTTCTCCTCGGACTCTGGTGTCGCCACTTGGGCTTGCTTCTTGGCGCCGTTACCGTTTGCCGCTTCCTTTGATTTCTTCTTCCCCTGTTTCTGCGAATCTTTCAAACTTTCACAAATTGCTTCAAGTTTCGCGTCGACGGAGGAATGGAGAGGCTTGTAGTCGCCGAACTCGCCATTGATGTGGGACCCATGGTGACGGAGGTTGGGGAAGTTGAGTCTCGCGAAGTCGCCTCTGAGCTTGTAGGCAGCCTTGTCGTAAGCCAAGGCAGCTTCCTCGGCGGTGTCGAAGGTGCCCAGCCAGAGGCGCGTCCGGTTCTTGGGTAGCCGGATCTCCGCGACCCACTTGCCCCAATGGCGTTGTCTGACTCCCCTGTAAAGCTTAGTCGGCTTCGGAGGCGACCCGAATTGTTTCATCGGAATCGGCTTCGGGCTGAGAATATTGAGCATGCTAGTCCGCTGATATTGTTGCTGAGAAGGATAGAGAAACTGCTGCTGCTGGTGATTGTTCTGGAAGTGGAATTGAGCCTGGATCTGGTGGATCTGAGCCGGAGTAAGGTCGTTCAGTCCGATTGCAGATCCGGGTTGCTGGAGACCGGAAAAGGGGTCGTAGGTCTGGAACCCTTGGGTGGTCATGGAAGTGGAGCACCCTTCGGAAAGGAAACCGTACGGTGGTTGGGAGAAAGAAAGGTAAGAAGAAGGAGAGAAAGTAGAGGAAGAAGGAGAAGGAGAGAAGGAAGAGGGGGAAGCAGAAGGAGAGAAAGGAGAAGGGGAAGGAGAAGGGGAAGAGGAAGAAGAAGCACTTTTCATAAAAGGCTCAAGTGCTCCCATCAACTCATCCCCGAACAGATCTGATTGAGATGGTCTGCTACTGTAGATATCCATGGCAGCCGCCATTTCTGCAACTAAACACAACCTTAAAAACACAAATTTGATGTTGGAAGAAAAAAAGAGGAAAAGAAACCTGAAACCCAACCCCTGTTTCTTACCAAAACTTTAAGAAAACAGGTTCCTGAAAACAGGATCAGAGAGGTTTTAAAAATAGACAAACCCCTGAAATCCGACCCAAAAATCCAACCTTTGAGGGAACAAAAATCACCCTCGAAGCTGGTTTTTCTAAGAAACCAGAAAAGAAAGAATGAAATGAAATATAGAGGAAATAAAATTAAAAAAAAAAATTCCTGGATCTCGATTCTGAAAACACCTGGCTTTCTACAAGTCGTTCAAAGTTTGCTTCCTACACATTTATATTGATCATCAAAAACAAACCCAAAACTAAGATTTTCCTTTTTGAAAGACAGATGATTAACAGAAAGGGATTCAGAGAAGCGGGGCGTAACAGAGAAAGGGGGGAATCAAAGAAGAAAATCGAAACTCCAAATCACACAGAGTGTTTAAATCACTCAAACTCTCTTTTTTTTCTCTCTGTTTTTTTTTTCTTTTTTCTAGCTCTCACTCTGTGTTGTCTCGGCAGCTTCCTCTCTTTATATAGTACTCCAGGTCCAGGATCCTTATTATCTATTAATCACATGACTAATCTTACTTAATCTCTTTTTTATTTTATTTTATTTTATTTTTAAATTTAGATTGTTGAGGGGTCCAAATATCAACTTTTGCTCTCCGCTAGACTAACTCCTTCTCAAGAAATTTTAAATTCACACCCTCACACTGCACTAAAGATACTTTTCTTAAATAGTGATTTTAAGATTTTAAAATATAATAAAAAAATATTTTACAGTGTAAATATTTTTAAATTATAAACTATTAATTCTTAAACGAAAATAATCGTCAAACATTAAAAACCCTTTTTTTCTTTAAAAATTTTTATTTCATAATTTGTAATAATTTAAATTATAAAATAATATTCTTAAAATATAAATATGACATGTAAAATAATATTTTTTTCAATTTTAATAAATTTAATTTTTTATTAAAAATTTTAAATTGAAGTTTCATTTGGACAGTACTTTTTTGGTATTTTAGCTTTTAGTTTTTATATTTTTTATTATTTTAAAAATATATAAAATGTTAATTTAAATAAATATTTAATAAATTAAATATATAAATATATTTTATATATTTTTGAAATATTAAAAGACTAAAACACTTACAATTCAATTACAGATAATATTGTTAAATTAAGTTTTAGTTTTTTTTAATGTCATTTAATTCATTTATTTTTATTTTATCTTTATTTTAAAAAAATAATTATAACATATATTAAATAAAAAATTTTATTACTTAACCATGTGTCTAAGTTTTATTACTCTATTTATCCTAATCTCAAAATAATTGTTATTTTTTATTTTAAATTTATTTTAAACTAATTATTTTTATTTTTTAAAGTAAATAAATATTTTTTCCTTACTTCAACCTTATCATTATTCATCTAATTTAATTAATTATCTAATTACAAAAAAATCTCTCTTTATTTTTTATTTTTTAAAAATATTATAAATAAATACAATTATTATCCTTTTTTGTATAAATACAATTATACAAAAAAATCTCTCAATATTATCACTTAATTTATAAAACTCAAATTTAAAATTTTATTATAAAAAGTTAAAATCCTTTTATTAAACTAACATGTGATTGGTATTTTTTTAATTTTAATTATGTCTTATATTCACCGCTCTAATATTAGGGATTCGTCTCTTTTAATAATTTAATTTAAACAGTCCCGTCTAAATAGCACTGCAGAAGACTTTTTTTTTTTTTTTTTTTAATTACTCGGTATATAGAAGTGCACTAAATCATTAACTAATTTAGATTCAAGTTAGATAGAACCCAGACAACAAAATTTTTTCTCATAAATTTTAACGAAATTACATTTTCTAAATTAGAAAAAAATCAAAATATTTGATTAAATTAAAAGAATTTTTTTTGTAAACCCATCCACTTGCTTGTGGCAGAAGACCTTTTCTTGTTTAATTAACACGTACGCTCTGTGTTTTTGCAACTTCTTGTTGGTGACGCGAGACCCCTTGGAATCAACGGTCCGCAGCGACTAATCCGCTGCCAACTCAGTCTGTTTACGCGTCTTTAACCGACACCTGTCTTGTCACTCACCGACACGCGTCAGTAGAAATGTGGTTGTGATGACTTAATTTTATCAACTCCTCCAGTTTGTTGACCATTACAGATGCGCGTTCCCATCACTTTCTTTTCTTTTTTTTTTTTCTTTTTGACCAAGTGCACGCTTTAATCAACCTTTAACTTGAACTTGGAAAAAATGAATCCATTAAAAACAATAAAAAAAACTTGAAAAATCAAATAATGGAAGCTAGCTGTTCACCTTATTTTGATTTCTCTAGCAGTAGGTGTATAAATAAGAATATTAATTTTATATTTTTTTATTTATAAATATTAATTTTTAATTTTTAAATAAAAAGATTAAATTTTAATTTTTTTTTAAAAAATATTATTTTTATTTTTTTAATGAT